AGTGCATAAAAGCTTACATAAGTAAATTTTATGCATAAAGAAACGGTTTAAAACGCTGCTTTTAATTCCCAAGAGCAGAAAATTGTGCCTTGCACTTTACAAATATATTTTAATTTGTTAATAAGTAAATATTTACAATATATGCACCCTGTCAAGATTTTACGCATCTTTGCGTTCAGCTTAGTGCTAGGGCATTCAAATTCTAACAATATGTTATTTCAATAGTTTGGGTTTTTTGGGACACCCTGTATAACCAAAATACCATTAACTATTATTTAACGCAAGAGTGCATGAAATGAGTAAAATGTTTTTCTGATTTATCATTTAACTGTTATTGTTTTGTGCAAAAATACATCACTTTTTCATTTTTACCTTAATCGAGAAAAAATGCATATTTGCCTTCGAAGCATAATGACATAAGATACTGATTTTGATTTTCAGACATTCCTTAAATGGAAGGCGTAGTTTTAAAGGAGAGTGTTTTGCTTGTGCATTGTTGATGAGCTGCAGAAGTACTGAAGAAATGAAAACGACAAATTTGGAAGATGAGGCATTGGCAGAGTTACTGGAGAAAAAGTTTGGTAAGAAGAGATGGATGATCAATAGCTCTGGATATTGTATGGTAGAAGCTTAAGACTTTGCGCTGAAGCTGGCAGCAGGGCGAAACGTGATGGAGATTACATTTCCTTACTACAAAAGGCTGTTGGTGAACTACGAGATAACCCAGATATGTACCACCTCGTTGGAGACTATGATAGCGAGCTGCATTTATACGAAACTTTCGGGGACTATACAACCGGTGCGGTAGATTACCTCCATTTGCGCTTGTAAACGTCACTCAAGTCAAGTGCACCATTGTCCAGGTTACCAAAGATGGATAGGATTGTAGCATAACTTTGTATCCATTCAAAATCACGACATGGAAACTGATTTTAATGGTCTGGAAATCCAATTAGTTTTCTCCTGTTTACGACGTCATTATGATGTAGCTGTAGATAGTGATTTTGATCCCAACAAGGTTCCAGAACAGTTTAAGGATGAAGGTTAGCATATAAGTATTATTTAGTATTGTAGTTTCCCTCAAATTAAAATCTAGTAGTACTGTCATTACTTCAGACCACAACCAGCAGTCAAACAATCCTTTCTTCCTAGATGCTCATCACTTTTCGTATGATCCTAAATGTTCCCAGAAGGCATACTTTTTGAACCATTATTATTGAATATGAAAAGGTGAATAGGTAAGCGGTGGAGCGGTTATCGATGACGAAAGAGAGCAGACATTAGATGAAAACCAGAGAAGGCACAACACGATTTCACAACATGAATTTAACAATTTTGAAAATCAAAACACCATTAGTCAAAATGCAAATTTGGAGGTAAACAGCAATTTGGATTTGCATACAGACAATGATATTGTCCAAAACAGTCACGAACGGCAAGAAACCGAAGCTGTAGAGGGCTTTGAAGTGACTAATGACTGTCCTGGTGAACCACACGCCGGCATACATGAAGCAGGACGTCTACCAGACTATGTTGCTGTTGATATACCATCGATTACCATCTGGGGACGTAGAGCGGATGGCTCAATAAATACGGTCAACTCGTCAACCATAATTAATGCATAAGATGAAATTACGCGATGGCGTAAAAATACTTTCCTCGTCCCGTATGGCAAAGTTGGGCGAGACTTTATCGACCAGCTAACACAACATATAAATGATTGGAACAACGCATCGCAAACACAACACATAGCGCTGAAAGCTGCAATTGTTCTCTTGGCAACGGCACTGCTACCCTTGATCAGGGGGTTTCCTGTTTTGCTGAAGCTGTAGCCTGCACTCAGGCGGTGCTGGCCAAATTGGAAACCCCCTGGGCACGATGTGTTCATTGATTGAGTTCGCCGAACCAATCAGATGCCTAGGGTCAGATGTTGACCCTAGACATCTGATTGGTTTATCGGGCCTTATCGGCAAACATCAATAAGCGTTTGCTGTATTCTATTCTATTTATACTGTTCGACAAGTGAGTGCATTAATTTCGTTAACAAAAAGCGATAGTTCGTGGAAACGTTTATGAGGAGAATTCGTTGGTTGTCGTCTCAGATGAAGTTCATGTCATTCCTAAACAGTTAGATCAAATAGCGTCATTCCAGACATATTAATATCACGCTATGATGATGTGATGATTCTGTATATATGTCGAGTAATTGAGCAGAAATTTGTCATGTGTGTGTGGTCGTGTTGTGCTGTACAGCCTGTACTGTATGCTGTACTGTGTATGTTCAATTGTTTTTAATGTAGTTTGTTGTTTTAAAATTGTGTAACCCGTATTGTGGAATTCATGAATATTTATGAACAAAAATTCAGTTGTAGCAAGGCATTTGGGCTAAATATATTATATATTTTATATGTAAATATACACAATGTAAAGCCCGAAACAGATATAGAACGTTCTGTATCATCAAACCTGAAAGTAATAATTCAATAACTGTCATTACTTTATATTTCACATGCAAGTATTAAAATATGTACTTGATTGTTGCTTGTATTTTGAATTTGTAACTTGAAACTGCTTAGAATGGACAGATTTGCCGATTGTCAATTTGTCATCAGTATAAAATTTGGAGACAGGTGTCCAAAATAGATAGCCAATGCGCCAGTTTATTGGAAATCTTCCCAGAGAAAATATTACATTTTCCTCTTCCGAATACAACAATTAATGTAACGTTGGCAAACACAACAAAATTGATCAGGGGAATATGTTTTTGTTGAATACTTTTGAATATGCCTACGTACTGGACTACATCCTTCAGACCGGAAGTGTGAAACATTAATAAATTACGTCATGGAAATGAAATTCGACAGGTCGCGCCCAGAGGTTTTCCCCGCCTCGTCGCCTCCAGAAAACCTCTGAACCCAGGGTATGGCACTGCAAAAGCCAAGCATAAAATCGAAGGCAAAAGATCACAAAGAGTGCTTGGAAAAACGACTAGCACTATGGAAAGAAGAAGTCGAGAGCTTATTTCGTGAAGGCTGGTCCATTCAAAAGCGTCTAGCAAAGGCTAAAAGGACGGAGCCTCCAAATAAAGCGTAGATATTCGCCAAGTTGGTCATGGAAGGTCAGATCAATTCTGCTTTGAGATATCTCAGTGAGGCTGATTGTGAGTGCTGCCTTTGAATGACGACGTGATGAGACAGCTTCAGGAGAAACACCCTGAGGCACAAGAGGCCAAACTTGGCTCGTTACTCTTCGGGCCATTTGAGGAAGTGCACGATTCGTTATATCAGCAGATTGATGGCGAAATGATACACGAGACAGCATTGCGAACCAAGGGCTCCAGCGGCCCTTCAGGAGTGGATGCAAATCGATTCAAGCGTATTTTCGCATGTAAATCGTGAAATCAGGCGTAAACTTGTGTGAGGCAGTAGCAACAATGACCCGGCGGCTATGTACGGAACACATTGACCCGAGAACTTTCAAGCCTATATTAGCCAACAGGCTTATACCTCTTGACAAAGGCGAGGGTGCGGTTCGTCCAATTGGCGTCGGGGAAGTTATCAGGAGGATTGTCGGGAAATGTGTTATGAAAGTGATTAAGCCCGACGTGATTGATGCCAGTGGATCGCTACAGGTGTGCGCAGGTCTTAAGAGCGGAAGTGAGGCAGCCGTTCATGGGATGCACTCCATATTTGAAGCAGATGAGACAGATGCTGTACTTCTGATTGATGTCTCAAACGCACACAACATAACAGTTCTGTGTCCATCTATATCAACCTATGCAATTAACACCTATCGCGAACCAGCTAGATTATTTATATCTGGTGGAGGAGAGCTCGCGTCCACCGAGGGTACCACACAAGGGGATCCCCTGGCCATGGGGATGTATGCCATCAGTCTTCAACCCCTGATCACCGGATTGAATGTGTCAAGCAATGTTAAGCAATGTTGGTTTGCTGACGACGCGAGTGGCACGGGATTTCTGGAAGATATCAAGCGATGGTGGGAACACCTGAATGAAGCTGGCCCTAATTTGGGATACTTTCCAAATGCTAAGAAATGCTGGCTGATCATAAAGCCTGGAAAAGAAGAAAGTGCTCATGCTATTTTTGATGGGACAGCGATCAATATCTCTGTGCAGGCGCAAAAGCATTTGGGCGCAACCTTGGGTTCTATGGCTTTCCTGGAATAATATCATGATTGCGGGTATTCCCTTTGTTATCGCAGGGCAATTAAAAACTAATACACCTCATTATATTCATATTTTCTAATCCTACCCGCTTTTACGTCATGTCAGGTAGAATTAGTTCTAATCCTACCCGAAACGACGTCAAAGCAGGTACGATTAGAAAAAATGAATATAAATGAAGATATCTGAAATCGCCAAAACTAAACAAAGACATGGAAAACAATTATACCATTTAATTTATACCATTATTTATTGTTAATTGGTTTTTAATGGCCCTGCGAGAACAACGGGAATACCCGCACATGATATTATAAGGTAATAGCATAAAAAGAGGCGAATTAGCTATTGAAAACGTCCCGCCCGATGAGGGTCGTTTAGTAAAATTCCCTTGGGCGCCGCTCGATTCGGGTCATTTAGTAAAATTTACTAAATGACCCTCATCGAGCGGCGCCCAAGGGAATTTTACTAAACGACCCTCATCGGGCGGGACGTTTTAATACTAATTCGCCTCTTTTTATGCTATTACTTATAAATACCTCATCATCTTCGGGTTCAAAAGGAGGATTTCCTATCACGCGAACCAATTCAGCAATGCCTAAACAGTCAATAAATATTCAGTGACGCAAAGTTCAGTTACGTACAGTATTTGCTGATATATGATATTGAAATTAACCAGTATAGTGGTACATCTACATTTATTAAGTCTGCAAACAACTATATATACAGTATCAATGTACAGTTATCACGCCAACATAACTTAAAACATCAAAAAATTATCCTACTATGAAATATAATTTACAATAATTTGAAAAATTTAGACCTGTAAATGTTGTCTTGTAAACTTCGCCTTAAATAGAGGTAGCGAGCTAGCATTAACTAAATCCTTCGAAAGCTTGTTCCATTCTCTAATTGTTGTAGGTACTCTATGGTAATAACATCTACCGCTTCGTTTTTCCCTCCCTATCATACCTGCTAGCTTCCCATCTGATTGAATGATAGGCTGACATATTACTGACTGCGCCATACTATCTAAAAGTAAAAAAAATATCTTCAACTTTATGTTCAGTTTAGTGCAAGGCCCATGCATGCATGCTATAATACAGAGGTTCAGATTTGATTTCCACTACCGCAACCTCGCACGGGTTTAACACGCATGTGATTGGTTAATCGAATTAGTATCAAACGCATCTGATTGGTTAATCGAATCAGTATCAAACGCATCTGATTGGTTAATCGGATATATCAAACGCATCTGATTGGTTAATCGGATATATCAAACTCATCTGATTGGTTAATGGTTGGTTCCTTAATGGTATTAGTGGAAGTCAAATCTGAACCTCTCTGATATCCCGTTAAAACCGTACCTTCAATACCAATTCCATCGGAAAACCTTTCATCCTGCAAAGATATGATACATTGATAAGCCAGTCAGTCAGAAATTACGTAAAACGCTATCTGTATACCATAGCAGGAAATAATAGTTTCTAGGATCGTACGTTTTGGGGTCAAAGTTTTTTCGAGCTTACTAATATTTTTCGTAATAAATTATTTTCTGTGCCTATTAGCATTATGCAACGCCCTAACATTTTTTGCCAGCCTAGTCAGGTGTGAAAATGTTCTGGGATCCTAGATGCCAGGATCCACCATTATCTCCTGCGGTGCTTGTATATAGTTAAAAGCAGGGCAGGAAAAATTAATTTTCTTCCTGGGAGCACAACCTGGAGACACAAATTTCCTGCAAACCAACGGAGTATTTTTGTGCTAAATCTGCATGTACATAAACATATAATGCTCTAGCTGACCATGGTTTTAAATTCAAGGAATAATGTCTGTCAACCATATATTGTTGCGCCCATAGTGGGACATGGATGTTAAGGTTTCCTTCAAATTTTCAATCTTCATTCAAACGAATTTCCTGCGCAGCTGTTTAACATTTCCTGCGAACAGTGCTCGCGTGCTCGCCTATTTTTTCCACCCCTGGTTCAAAGTGTGCACATACCCCTAATATATCCCGAACATGAACGGCAGCCATGGTTGATGCTACATAAGCACATACTGTAGTCCCTTCAACAATCTTCTGTTGGTTGACTTGAGTTGTCCTAGGAGAAGCGAAGTTGGTATCAATCCTTATAAGCCCGTGTCTTAATCAGTGCAAATTATACATTTCCACTGCACGATAAAGAAGCTTAAAAAACTCATTCATTAATAATTCATCAGGAAAAGAAACTAATCACTACCGTGGTGGTGGTTTTATATGTGATATCTGAATGTTCATTTACATACAGCTTTGTCTTTAGTCGTGTTTACACTACCAGCCTTGGCCTAGCCTTGGCCTACATTTTGACAGTGTAAACAGACTTTGGACTAGCCTTGACCTGACCTAGGCCAGGAAATCTGGGCCCACTGCAACCGGTGGCCTAGGCTTGTGGAAATGTAAACACTTTCGACCCTGGCCTGGGCCTTATTTTTATGGCAACGTGTGTCCTCAGGGAGAGATTAGCGGACAACCAGGGGTCGGTTGTATAAAACTCTTAATCTTTAAATCACTATTTTGTAGTTAAATAGTGATTAACTCTCAAATAGGCGCTTCTTATTGGATGACGTTTCCACTTAATTATAATTAACTTTAATCACTATATAAAAATACAACCGGCCCCAGCAGACGTCACAACACATAAAAATACACAAAATTAATTTAAAAATTCTAGGCCAAAGTGAGCCAGTCTCAAAAAATAATGTAATGGTGTAAACGCGCCACATTTACCTTGGCCTGGCCAAGGCTTGTAGTGTAAACACGACTTTTGATACGGACAAATCAATCATATTTTATCATGTTTTCGCTCGCCACTCTGGTTTACATAAATGAATACAAAGCCCAGTCGAATTGTAATCATCACTTTGTATTCATTTATTTAAACCAGAGTGGCGAGCGAAAACATGATCACATGCCTGGTTGCTGTGAACGAACAAACTTTAAATCATATTTTAGTTGTTACCTTTGCTCACTGTCTTCAGTATAAAGATAAATTTCCTACAATGGGCACAGACACAAAGCTCAACCATGTATGAAAACAAGAACATGAAATGAAACAAAAAACTTTCTGTTCTGATGTTCTTATTTACCTTCTCATTTTTACAGATAAGATAAAGAGAGAACCTGTCCGCGTGAGTTGCTAGAATAGAATAAAAGAACAAGAAATGAATGAAGAACATGCAAATTCTATCTTGTATATCTATTGTGGCTCTTACCCAGGGCAATGCATTTCACAAGTTCGTACATGACTTTAGCTTTTTGTGGTTGACGATGAATTTCCTGTGTTAGATGTTGCAGTGTCTTCTGTTTATCTGTATGCACGCAAAACTGAAAGAATTATGGAGTAGTTTAGCATATAGTCATTGACTTCTCAGTATTTCTATCTTTAGTTTAAATGAAAAAGGTAACGCATGCAAAAGTTAGAGAGTCGTGGCATGACATATAGCTACCTTCCATCTCGACAATGACGACAAGGCATCTAATAAAAAGGAAGATATAACAACGATTAATAATGCTTTTATATTTATTTTATATCATCATATTCTTATGATGTGGAGCCGGTGAAACTTTGGTCGTGGTAATTGGATGAAAAGTCTTGAAGTTGTGAAGGAAATGCGAAACACTACGTGAATATTTTCACCGTCAAATCATTAATAATTTATGAGAAACTACAAAGGATACCAGCTCCATCGTAGCCTCAAATTGACTGTACAATGTACATCCTTAGGGTTAGTATTAGCGCATGGGTTCGGAATATTTTCTGAAATAATTGCCAATAAATTAATTTGTTTCTAAGTTGGTATGTGCAGTTAACCTGAGCAAGAGACTGGGCTCTCTGTTCAGTGGTATTAGAGAACTTTTATTTTATCGTAGTGTAAATTTCTAGTTGTAATTTATATGTGGGGTTTGCTTTGGATCCCATATCTAACTCGCCTTTGACAGCTTTGTTTGTTGTAATGTTTCGTTCTCACATATAGTCAATTGTAAATTTCCTATAGGAGTTTGATTAAAAGCTCCTTATTATCGTATCGTTGTCTTGATAAACGCACATACATTAACTCAACTATCGTGAACTGAAATTGTGCTACTATACACAGGGTGTCCCCAAAAAACTGCAAACTATTGAAATAACGTATTGTTAGAATTTGAATGCCTTAGCACTCTGCTGAACACACAATGACACAAGTGCATAAAACTGACATAAGTAAATTTTATGCATAAAGAAACTGTTTAAGAAGCTGCTTTAAATTCCCAAGTGCAGAAAATCGTGCGCTTTACAAAGATATTTTAATTTGTTAATAGCTCAATATTTATAATTGCGTTCAGCTTAGTGCTAAGGCATTCAAATTCTAACAAAACGTTTTTTCAATAGTTGGCGGTTGTTTTGGGACACCCTGTAGAGTATAAAGTACATAGTACAACTGTATCTGTACACAGTACAGCTCAACTTGTAAACTGGTTGCATGCAACAGTTTTAGGCAAAAGTTGTGAAGTGTAAGTCCGCCTATACTGTACTATACTGTACTGTACTGTACTGTACTGTACTGTACTGTACTGTACTGTACTGTACTGTACTGTACTGTACTGTAGTTAAAATTAAGGTGTGGTGCACACTAAACACATATTGAGTGGGAGTCAGGGTGTCGTCTAACTTTTACCGAGCAACCAAAACTCTGATCACATACGTTCACTATTCTTTTCATTTGTGTCAGATTTCTGAGCGTGGATTTTTCGTATCAACCATTTCTCAAGTTGTTCCCTGCTTATTGACTCCATTACGTAATTCTCCAACGCTTTCGGATTCTGCTTCAGAAAATCCACGACTTCGATCATTTTTTGCTCTGAAAATAGGTGAAACGGTAGATAAATTGGGCTTAGCCCATGTTTCTCCAAACAGATTATCCGTTTCTAGCAAAAATAATTGTTTTTGCAATCCTCTCGATCGGTTATGCCATCATGATCTTATTTATCAATGAAAATCCGGACTTTAATAATAATACCGATCGATAGCTTTGCAAAACTAAAAAACAATTTTATTTAAAATTGTAAACAAAATCAAAACAAAATTATCGGTTAAAAATAACTACCAAACTTGAAAGAATATTATTAGTTGAGAAAAATTATTTTCCTGTCATTCCCACACCAATTTCTGTTATTAACGTACGTTTGTTATCTTGACTTGAAGTTCTGGGTGCATTTGAACTGGAAACATCAACATTTGACAGAAGAGCCTCCCGCTCTTCTACATCCGTGGTCGTTTTTGGAGATCGTAAAATTACTTTCCCGCCTGGATTTTGGCTTGGTAAAGGTGGAAGTCTTCTTGCACTAACTTGTTTGGTAGGCGAAGACATCCAAAAGTTTTTTCAATTAAAAAAAAGTTCAAAAAAAAAATTTCATTTCTTTTTTATTTTTGTCAAAGTTAATTAGTGACGTCATAAAATTTGAACATTGAATTTGAATGATATGAAAAAGGACTGGGAATAGTTGTCAAGCAGATGTCATTTTCGGATAAAATTGCTCATAAAATGTATTTTATTTTGTTCCCAAATCTGTAATGGACTTGTGCTTTCTGCCCCTTAGCTTATAGATAAAGTTTCAAATGGTTTCATACAGAAAAACAGGAAAAATCCAACTGATTATTAAAATACTGCAATATTCGCTGGGCTAGCGATCGTTTCCGATCCTATCCGACAAAATCCGAAGTTATAATTACACATTTTGCATAAATTATCATAATTATCATGGCCGCGGTTGTTGTCAAGAGATGAAAACATACGTTTGGTTACCTTTGAGTTTTACTGGCCATGAAGCTTTAAAAGGATCTTTTTGGAGAAAACATGTACGAGAAATGGACTTTTGATGATAGAAACATATTATGCTTTTACAAGGGGCCTATTCGTATCCTTTTTGAGGTGTTATTTGCGTATGATTTTAGTGTAGACAAATGTAAATACTGCATGTCCTGTCTTTAGATACGGTATAATATTTTAATACTGAATTGTATTCGCCAGTATATTCATAGTACAATTGTCTACCTTTAGAAATAGCTTTGTTTTTTTTATATAAGTATTAATGTTTAGGTTTAATTTGATAGTGAATTTTGTAGGGTTCTTTTTTGGGACATCAGTCCCATATTTGATATAATATATTTTACTATTTGATACTTGATAGCCACTGTTGACTATTATAAACAAGTAAAAGTCCTTGTTATGAACCACTTTATTAACTCATTAGCACCAAATGAGTTACATCATCCAGTGTGTATCAGAGAATATTGTGACTTTGCGTATTGCTTATCTGCCTGATGCCAGGGGTCGGTTGTACCTGTGGTTGTACAAAGCTGGATAGGATGGCAATATTTTCAAGTGCTCTAAAAATTGTCCCTTAACCCATTGAGCGGCAGCACTCTCCACTTGACAAGTAAAATCGTCTGGACTTGGACAGAGTAAAAAACTGTTTAAATTAAGTAGAGTGCATTGCCACTTAAAGGGTTAATTGTTATAACCCAGATTATACTTTATATTTTATTAAAAGACCGATTTTGTAACCTAAAGCGGTTAAATTACATCAGTGCTAAAAATTTACAACAATAACTAGAGACTACTTACAATTACTTCTAATGACACATTGGTAAAAACGAGTTTTTAAAACGTTCAGTCTTGCAGAGATATTTGGTCATAAAATCCATTACTTCTTAGTTCATGTATTTATAAACTTTAGTATTTATAAATTAAAGTTTCCCTTGCATTAATTATGAGGTCCATATGCATAGTTTTGTAGCGTTTCATATATTTTTACAAGTGTCAAAAAAATCACTGTCCATTGGATATTATTATTTGGTCTTCGTAGAACCGGCCCCAGATGATCAACTTGTCAAGGAGAATCCCGTGGACATTATTGGATAAACTAGGCTTTTTACCATATTTCTTCTTAAAGCTGTAATGGGCCTAAATGTGTTGTCCTATAATTTATTCCACTCTGTGTAATGACAGATGATTTTATTTGTCGAGGGGTGACTTTTGGATGTTGATGGGTTAACAAGGCAATACAAGTCATACAGGCAGATAGTCTGGTAAACCAATTTGCAGATGATGTGTCTGATAATTTACAAGTCTGAATATAAACATGGCAAATGGACCTTTCACCTTTTGACTAAAATTTAGATTTCAACAAGTCTAGACAAAAATTTTATCACAGCTTGAAAGAGCATCACAAAATTAGTAATATTCCAAAGTTTCGTTGTGAAATGTTGTAAAATGCGGATAATATAGCCTTGCGAAGTCTGCCGTTTTTCAGTCATTTTGTATTACAAACTGGAAATACATACCCTTTTTCCGAAGGAGGTATGTATTTCCCGCGCGTAATACCAAATGACTGAAAAACGGCAGACTTCGCAAGGCTATATTATCTGAATTTTACAACATTTCGCAATGAAACTTTGGAATATTACTAATTTTATGATGCTCTTTCAAGCTGTGATAAAATTTTTGTCTAGACTTGTTGAGATCTAAATTTTAGTCAAAAGGTGAAAGGTCCATTACGGAATTACCTGTGAACAACTTGCTATTTTACTTGTAGGTAATCCTATATTTGGCGCCCAGGCAACATCACGAACCCAGTCACTGTGTGATTCCAATTTCTCTTCCTCCTCCCATTCACCATCTGTCTCTCTAAGTACATCAAAAATTATTTTAGCGAATATTTTCTTCAAGGCTAGGCAATATAAATCAAATGATATCACCATCTGTCTCTCTATGTACATCAAAAATTATTTTAGCGAAGACGTTTCTTCGAGGCTAGGCAATATAAATCAAATGATATCACCACCACTGTCTCTCTATGTACATCAAAAATTATTTTAGCGAAGACGTTTTTTCAAGGCTAGGCAATATAAATCAAATGATATCACCACCACTGTCTCTCTAAGTACATCAAAAATTATTTTAGCGAAGACGTTTCTTCAAGGCTAGGCAATATAAATCAAATGATATCACCATCTGTCTCTCTAAGTGCATCAGAAATTATTTTAGCGAAGATTTTCTTCAAGGCTAGGCAATATAAATCAAATGATAGACTGACTTCGAGTGTATAACAGGACTTCTACTCTCTCCTCCGCAGAGGCTTCTGTTGGCTAGGATTACGATTAGTATTAAGATACATTTCACTACACTTTACAGAGGGGGACTTCTAAATAAAGTAACATTTTAAGCCCCATACAGGGGCCAGTTGTTCAAAGCTGGATTAGCGCTAACCCTTGGTTAAAATTTAACCTGCTGTTTTAGTTTCTGTATTTCTACACATCTATTTATTTCAAAACTTCAGAGAAGTAAACTCTCATTGGTCCAGACAAGATTTCTAAAGAAATATTTCCAAATTTATAACCAAGCTGTTGGGAAATTTGCTTTGAATTTTAGGTTAACCTAGGGTTAAGCTAATCGGCTTTTGAACAACCTGCCCCAGATGAACAATTTTTCCTAAACAAGTTTGCCTTGACAAGTTTTATTTGTACGGCATTCTTGCCAAGGAGCCTTTTTCCAAAGCTGGTCATGCCAGTTTTTGGACAAGAAAAATGATTTCATGTGTACGACCGCCAAGGAAAACTACTGTAGTCAAGTGTAGGGATGAGCCGATACCAGAAAAAAGCTGATTTGCCGATCCGATATATCGGAGCCGATATAAAAAAATAATCGACCGATTAAGCGGCTATGGCCGATATTTCTGTGTACCGGGGTACAAGCGGCGGATAACGGTTTTTTGACAACTTTTAATACTTGTGTATACGCCACAAATTGACGTACTAGTTTTAGTGTGTTCCGGAAAAATAATTACTCATATTGGACAGTTATCAGTCACTGTACGAGTCAAATGAATTAATGGATATGGGATTAAATACGCACAACAAAAGTGTCAAAAACAAGACGGAGTGTAGATTAGTAGATTATAGAGTTATTTTTCTTAAAAAACCGAAAAAATTGCGAATATCGGCAAATAGCCGATTAGAAAAAATAATCGGCCGATTACCGATTATTTTGAAAACGCCAAATATCGGCCGTACCGATTAATCGGCTCATCCCTAGTCAAGTGTATTGTACATCAAATACTTCTATTGTTTTTGGCATGCATGTGATTTCATTTTGTCTCCCCCTATGCCAAGACTAAGAATGTGCACCCATCTGCTTCATCCTCCAGTAAATCCATCCAAGAGTACCTCATTTTCCATATCTTGACGAGGTTATCACATCCACCCGTCACTAAACGTTTCTCGACCTTGCCACGTTTAGGGTCGTTAACACTCTGTAACAACACGTCAAAAATATGCATCAATTGCATGCACGGAGAGAGGATAGGAAATTTTGATTTTTTACATGGGAAAAAATATCAAAAGGATTAAGGATTTACAGCACAACTCACATCAAAAAGTGAACCAGGGTGTACTGATGGCGCCCAACTGACTGCATTGCAACCAATCTAAAGAAATACACAAGTCAAAAAATTGAGAATTAAAAATGTGAAATGCCATCTTTGACTGGAAGAAAAATAAGAACACAACTTTGAACAAACAATCTGAATTGTTCGTGAAATGCCACCACACGGATGAGAAAAACTGTTAACAAGTACAAAAGCAAACATTGGACAGAATAAAAAAGGAGAACATTTGCCTGAAGATTCCAAAACTGCATAAAACTTTAAGTAGCAACAATTACACTGTTTTATGATTAATTAAATACGGCAAAAATTTTGCTGCAACTTAAAATTCTATTTTGGATACAGAGTCACGTAACTGTTATGTTTTAAAGGGAAATTGTAAAAATGGCATGCATTTTACTCTGCTGACAATAGGTTAAAGAATTTTCCAAAGACTTACTGTATGTGCATTATGTATCTTTTTTACTTCCCACTGACCATCACCTGAAAAAGCATCGGTGAAATAATAATTAGGTGCATTTCCAGAGAGGAGGCAGGTTATAACCTTTCTTTATTTTTTTTTTTGGGGGGGGGGGAAAGCACACACTTCCCCCTCGTCTCAATTAGCCAAATTTTAAAACATTTTTAATTGCAGTGAGTTTACTTTTGGAGCCCAAACCAGGCCCATTGAAAAAAAAATGCAGACTTTCCAAAGGGTGAAGCATCCCTGCTTTACCACTGCAGTTGCATGGATTTAGTTAGTCTTGCAAGGAGAGGGAGGAAAAACTGGTGATTAAATGGGAAGGGTGATCACACCTTTCTCTAGATCCAAATACTGCCATGCCTGACAACTCACGCTAGTGCCTGACAACTCGCGCTAGCGACTGTCAACTATGCAGTAATTCCAGTTATCTTGAGTAAGGGGCATTTCACTCCAAACAAGGGTACAGGATTTTTGGACTTTCTCTCCAATTTTTTCTTTGGTTTTTCAAAGAAATTTTGTTGATTTTTTTTTACTTTTCTGGATTTTTGTACATTTCTAAATTTGGACTTTGACAGATTTTCCAATTGTACCGGATTTTATTTTTTGGCCAAGTGTATGGGATTTTTGGAGTGAAGTACCCCATCAATCTTGAGCTCCAATTCAGATGCAAACACAAAGTCATATACTGTCTACTACAAACCTCCACTGGATATAATTGAAACATTTCCATCGGAAGATGCACATGCTAACATCAAGCCATAAGCCTCAGGAGCCCAGCAAACTGAATTCACTGCAAAATATTCAAGGCTACTAATGAACTACCTTTTAAAAATACTATTTTAGAATGATGCTTGTGATGTTACTCTGAGTGTATATCCACACCGGGCAAGCTTGAAAAATATGCCTGACCACGGTGGGAATCGAACCTACAGCCTTTGGAATACTAGTCCAATGCTCTGCCAACTGAGCTATCAACCTCGTTCCCAGGGTCTTTCTTAGAACGGCGCGAGGCGAAGGAAAGACCCTGGTTTCGGCTGGTCACGTGTCACCCAGATTCTGGGTGACAAATTAAAATGATACTATGGGCAGGGTGGGAGGGTAGCGTGTTTGTCGCGTTTGTAACAATATTTGCAATTTTGTGTGATGAAATTTAAATTTGCAACAAGAAATTGTGAAGAGAACTGCAATTAAAAATTAATATTTATCGTGATGTGACTTTCTGCTCTATAATCTAGTGTCGAGTTACAATTCAAGCAAGTTGGATCAGATTTCAACTCGTAGA